TCTTCTACAGTACATTCTGTTCTTCGAGCAGAAGCACCCGAGTTCAGACCGAGACAGCCACCAGCCCCAGGGGCACAGCAGCACGTAGCCCTAACGCCTCTTGATGCCAGTGGTAGTTGGGCCACCGCTTCGCCAACCCCTGGCTTTGCTCTTCTCCGTCAACCTGCTTATCCTTCTACAGCAGAGCATAGCGACTCTGCCTCGCCGCCTCATTCATGGGTGGAGACGGTGCGCCACGCTGTGCACCCCCTAACGCTGTTTCCACAACCAGCTCCTGCTCCTCACACCCTCACACCTGTAGAGCACCTCCAAAGTGACCCGCAAGCACTGCCAGGACCCTCTGATTACCCGCCGGATCCTCTTATGCCTACCGGAGAACTGTCCCCTGTATTCCCTGGACCTATGCTTCAACCTCCACCTCCAGAAATCTCACAGCAGGGGTTTACACATCCCCATGCGCTCCCGGGAGGTTGGCAACATATCCNCCTCCAGAAATCTCACAGCAGGGGTTTACACATCCCCATGCGCTCCCGGGAGGTTGGCAACATATCCCTGCCCGCTTGGTCCTTGCATCTCCTGGTGCTTTGCAGTCGTCAGGTGTGGATATTTCGCTCGATATGATAGGCCCTGCTCCTCCAGGCCCTGTGACTGCAGAGGCAGTCTCAACGCCGGACGGTACATGGACTGGGGGCGCTGAGCGGGGGCATCCCGGAGAGGAGCAATGGCAGTTCCTTCCTCCTTCGCATCCGTCCCCCGATTAATACGCTTCGGGAATGTCTGCTGATGTTACATACAGCACCACCAATGTTTACACAGAGCGAAGGAGAAGACTTATCCGCATATACCAGGGGACGGCAGTACCCAAGGATGACTGCTACAGGTACCCTACCAATTCGCCTAACTCTGGCCACATTGTCAGAAGGCGTTCAAATGCTGCCAACGCTTCATATGTATGTCTCTGTATCTTTCACAGCAACTGTCCTTTGGGTGGTTCTACCCCAGCAATACGGTCAGCTTCACCCATGAGAAGTACTTTCTGGTGTTTACCTGTATTTTATCGGCAAGAATCGCAGAACAGATGCGGTCATGGCCATGAAACATGTCCGGTTTGTATATCTCCACAACTCTGCGTTTGTCGGGTCCGAACACGTTTGCTGTCTGTGCTGTACCGGAAGCAGCTCTTTCATTAAATATTTTTGCGCACCTTTGCTTCCAAATCATTTTTTGAAAGCAGATATGCCTGCAGTGTGCTTGTTCCCAATTGGTGGTTTCTGTTCTTTGCGAGCCTTTTTGCAGTATTTCCTTCGCTACTTCTCTTCGCCTCAACGGGGCCGATTCGTATCCTCGCTGCCCACCTGGTAGACCCTGCAGCATGCCTGCTGTGCATCGATTACTTAGTAGCATGTTTTGCTTCTGTAGAACAGGTTTCTTTTGTCTCTCAAATACGAGAGTTGCAGTTGCAAGTATGCACTTGCAGCTACCTTGGTGGCCTCTAACGTGGCCCAAAGTAAGGGAACAGCGGTTTTGTCGTAAGCATGCATGCTACTAATTCCTCCTTTTTTGCTGCCTTCCTCCCATTTGAAAGCGTCAAACGTACAGCGTGGTGGAAACTACCCACAGGCATCACAGGTATTGAATTCGCACTGTGGCGTTCGTTGCTTCTTCTCTCTTGATGCCCTGGAGTGTTTCCTAGGGGACCCAAGCCAGCTGTCGCTGATAATAGAAGGCTTAGATGACAGGACTGCTCACAGGCGCATGGAGTCACTCAACCATCGAACAGGGTATATCCAACTGAAGCCATTTGCCGCTTTCGATATGATGGAATGGAGCGTTGAAAATAATGAAGTACGTTGCGTACTTTTCTACCTCTACAAGCACCGCACGCGAACGCATGCGCGTACGGATTCGCAAACGCACAGACGAGCAAGCACAGAGCCATCAAGTACATGTATACTCCTTGTCGAAAGAAATGAGCATGGGCCTTTATACGCATACGTCTAACAACATGAAGACGCCCGTACACATTGCTGTTTACACACACACACACCCAACCCGGCCCTGATACGAACTAACGCAATACTTGTACAGACACGTTAGCACCCCCGCCGCGGTTGCCCAGCCCTCCATTTGATGCTGGCGTCGCAACCAGGCTTCCCGAATTGGTTGTCAACGTCCGACCGAAGTGCTCCCGATTAACTCTTTTTGATTTCCTCCGCCGCACCGCCAACCCGTACTCCCGGTTGACCATAGCACGCCGCGCCAACCCAACCCCGCACCGCCCGCCGCCCCCCCAACAACAAACAAGAACATCTACGCGCATTTGTCCGGGTCAAAGACTTCAAGGGGAACATTGTAGTGCGGTGCACTACATTGGGTAGTCAGTATGAATTGTCTTACAGATACTGTGGCAATATTAGTCAGCAATATTAAGATGAACAGTATCGTGTACTACTGAGAATGCGGTTTGCCTCGTAAACCAACGATAGATATACCCCGGAATTTCTCAACTTTGGCTTTTCCCCCTCGATTTTGGGGACTAGGTCTCAAGCTTCTTGGTAATCGGACTCGCCTGACACGGGTATTGGTTTCTAACAGTCCCTCTACCAGTATCCTATTTGCTAAACATCCCTGTGAAACTTGAGCGTGTCTATTGAAATAATTGAGTTACCTGTCGTCACTGAAACGATTGAATTGCCTGTCCTCTGTAACAGGTTGAAAAGTAGTCGCTACCGAACATCTGAAAATCGAAAGTTTGGTTTTCATTCCAAATCCATTTGGGAAACCCAGAGCTTCCTTGGTGACCCAAAGGGGTTTTACAATAATGTATACATATGGATGCAGAGAAGCATGAGCACCCCCTTGCGTGTGCCTTTACCCATGCGTGGGAGCAGGTATGCAATTATGTATGTGAGTATCTCTCTACATAAAACTAGATATACGTGAACGTATCTGTGCCGAGGTATGCAAGTGAATACCTTGTATTTGTGTGAGACTGTGCTTGCCGTCTATGCACGCAAGCATGCGAGCATATGCGTCCACTCGTGCATATGGTCTTAAATACACCTACATACATACGCAAATGCTATAGGCTATAGATGCATCTGCAAGCATGCTTGTATAAGCATGCTTGCAGAAGCATGCTTGCACACAGAGACATATCTCGATGTATCCATGTACGTGTACAGACGGTACAACAAATTTCCAATACGAAGCATGTAGAGGTATCCGCACTCATGTTCGTTCATGTGTGGAGGCACACACATACAAACGCGTATGTATCTAGAAACATACACCTACCGACAAGCGTAGACATTCGTACGAACACATGTAGAGACAAATATTTCTGCATTTCTACGCACTCACAGCCGCACACGTGCCTCTGAGCGTATGTATATATTTACACTATTGACAAGGTCGTGTGGCCCCAGATTAGCGGATTTTAGTCAAGCCAACCATGTCCCACGCTGTGCGAAATCGAAAAATAAACAGTCATTAGGCCCACTGCAACTAAACCTGAGATATGGTAGCTACTGGAAACTCGCACGGGAATGGAGTAAAAACGTCGACGGCGAAATACTGTCACAGCGACTAAAATGGAAGTCAAGCAAGTTGGGAATAGCATGAACTGTATAGACAGTCACCACGGTAGTAGCGTGGTCTGACTGCAGTTAGCGCAAGGGCATTCACTTGGCCTTGGTAGGTTGCATGCTAGCGAATACAAACGCCCTACAAGTGTATTCAGAGGTAGGTGTTGTGGTAAAGGAAGCTCTGTTGAAGCCTCCTTGTGCTCATAGGTGAGGCTCGCTTGCATCTCCAGCTGCTGCAAGGTGCGTTGCAACTCCACTTACGTTGCCTGCACGCCGCAGCCTGTTGGCCCTGAGCTCAACGCCCAAGATGCCTGAGGACAGGGAAAAGTCAGCTGCTTTGAGAGGAAATCTAACTTCAAGTCTTCACTTCACTGCAACTTGTTTGTGTTCTTGAATAAGGCTGGAAAGCAAGCGTTACAAAAGTCGGCGTTGGGAACGATGCAGCGCCGCATCCATTGAACCGAGGAACCCCCCCGCTGCCCCTGTTCATGAACAACAATGCAACAAAGCCCCAGTCTTCGCTGTGCAAGTCCTACAATTGATCTTACTAACTAACTGCAGTCAATCATACGCACTATTGAATATCTTGGCTTTGCACGTAGTGTTAGCTCACACAGTTCTGGCGTGCCGACGATTTTGGAATAGAACTGCTTAGCGCAGATATTATTAATAAAACACACTCTTTGTTGGCTTTGCCTAACTGTACGATTTTCAAGCCGCAAAAAGAGGACACCCAGTTAGTCCCCGTTCCTACTGCAACCAACCCGAAGCTCTTGCACAGGTAATGTCGCACGATGGCTGATAGCGTCACCGGTTGTCGATCTGCATGGCAACCCCAGGCAAACTATCCCGAAAATATATTTTTCTTTATTGTTCCTTCATGTTTCCAGCATGAAAGCAACTAACGCGTGGAGACATTTCATCTGAGCTGGCGTCGAGCTGGGGTGTGGCACAAGTTGCCAACAACAGATATGTACTATTCCAGTTACTGAGGCACGAAGCAATGATTTCAACATCCTGTGGGCTTTTCACCAAACTGAGCTGCTTCCCTCAGTCGGTTAGTATGGAGTTGAACACTTGGAATATCCGCTTTTCGGGCTGCGATCTGTTCGACTGGTGTCTGACGCCCGTGGCATCCACACCGCCGATCGCTCTCGAGCTCACGCTGGGAGCTAGTGCAATGCCGAGTGCCCACCTCGCCAGATCTCAATTAATACGCTTTTCTGTTTGCAGTTTACATTTTTAATTTAAATCCTTCACTGCGTGCGATTAGCGTGCTTTAGTTTATCACCCGCTTTTTTCAATTCATTGACTTCACGGCTTAACACGTGACCGCGGAAAACCAGATCAGCTAATTTTTTTTAGAGAGGGTATAAGGAATTTTGAATGAGAATACCCTTGATAGTAACGAAAATGGCCCGTTCGTGTACGGCTTTTCTTGCTGCTTTTGCCGCACTCTCTGCCTTCGTCGTTACAACGAGCGGCCAATACCACGCCGGGTACGCCACGTCTCAACACGAGGAACCTGGCAGCATCACGGAAAATCAAGTTCCTTCCGAGTTCTATCATGGCAGTAACTTCGTGGAACTGCGCAGAAAGCACGTTCCTGTCCTGTTACACCTCGCCGTCGCCGCCGCCTCACTGGCAGTAGTGTTTGCCATTGTACACTGCTTCAGACGGCTTTCCGGTCATACCAGGGCGAGACGCTTCGGATTCCTTGGGCGTAGGCTAGCATCTGTGGGTGAAGACACTTGTGGAGAAGAAAGTCAAGCAGCAGATGAGGAAGGCCAGCAACCCAAGGGAGCAGAACAGCAATCCGAAGAACAGCAGCAACCCCGGGGAGCAGATCAGCAAACTGAGGAGCACCAGCAAGCCCAGGGAGCATATCACCAAGCGGGGGAAGAACAGCAGCCTCAGGGAGCAGAGGGAGGAGTGCCGTCGCAGGAAGATGTCGAGAAAGCTCTTGACGCTTATGAAAAAGCACTGGTTGAAGCGGGAGGATCAAGAGACAGGCTAGTGACAACAATGGCAGATATGGTATTTGGAATGGTTTCAGGAGGTACCGCAGCACAAGAACTTCCCTCATGGAAAAGAATCATTGGAGCAGCCTTTTACGGAGCCCAAAGACTGATGGATGTTGCTACGAGGGGAGTGGCATTGCCACCGCCGGGAACGCCAGCACCAATGCGAGTGGGAGAAATGATAGTACAAGCATTAGCACGACCAGAACTAGTGGAAAGTTTGCGGGATGCTGCACAAAAGCACTCGACAGCAACAAGGGCAGCAGAAAGGGCAGCGGAAGTGCTTGCGCTACGAGCAGCTGCAACAGGGAGACATGCTGATCTTGTACAAGCAATGAGAGTTGCAACAGAACTCTTGGTTCTTCAGAGGGGGGAAAGGGGAACACAAAGGGCTGGGGTACCAATTTCAAGAGGAACGCAAGCGGCTGCACAAGCTCTGCAAACAGCGGGACAAAGAGCTGGAGACTCGGCGTCGGGACGGCATGCAACTGATATAGGACGAGCAGTTGCTAAAGGAGGAGCTACTTCGGAAGGGTTCGTATCACAAGTCTCGACCATGATGCTTGAAGCAGCCGGCGTCTCAGGAAGGCCGATCCCGGAGACATCTCGACGAGTTCTGGAGACAGGATCGAAACTGTCTGAAGAATGGAAAGAAGAACAAACAGGAGCATCACCAGAAAAAGATTCCGATGAAGAACAAGGAGAAGGATCGGGGAGAAAAGGTTACGGAAGAAGACCGCCGTCGCCGTCGTCAGGATCGGGATCGTCGCCGTCGCCGGGACCGTCGAAAGTCTAAGTGCGTCTGGCTGTTTTGACATTTTTACTTTTGTCGCGACCGCGAACAATGCCTCGCATTCTGGCAAAGCAACCAGAATCCGTACTATACTGCCGCAACACTACCTTTCAAGATCTTTTTGTGCTGACACCTGCTGCTGGTATAGAAGTGGGGTTTCGGCAGGGCAGCACTGGAATAGTAGGGGAACGAAGTGAACCGTTGCACGAACGTTGAGGGGATAGTGGATGAATTATTAATGAGACAATTAACACATTCTATTTGTAGAAAATCATAGGGAGGATGAGTATATCCCTGTAGGCGCAAGCAAGCCTAGAGTGGACTGCAGACCAGACACAGCATACGCCACGTGGTCGACGGGGGGGGGGNGGGGGGGGGGGGGGGGACCTAAGAATAATTAGGGGGATTAGTTGAGGATGAAAGGACAACAACAAGATATGAAAGACGACGTTTTGACTGTGGCTGTGCTTGGACCTCGCCATGGTGCTCGCGGGGACTGTGCCAGCATACCGCCGAGTCTGGTTGTCGTCTGCACCTGCCTTGCGGGTTCGACTAAGTGAGGGGTGCTGTGAGATGATCAGCTCGAAGGGACTCCGGTAGCTGATTGTAGTGTAACAAGCACACTCAATAGCGAATGCTAGGTAGAATAAGTAGCTTCTTATCCCAAACGAAACGAATACAACTCCGGCATTGTAGTGCCGGACCAGAACACGTGGCGTCCAAACGGCCAATCGTGTTCGATATCTAGCTGGAACGTCCTGCAATGCCGAAAACCTACCTCCCTACATGTTAATTAACACACTTTTATGTTTGCAGTTTGCATTTTTAATTTATATCCGTCATTGCTTCTGATCTGCACATCCTAGTTCATCGTGCGTGCATTTCAATTTCAGCATCCAGAGACGTATGGGTAGCTTTGGCGGCAGGGGCTCCTCCCTATTTGGTGAGATTTAGTTAGTAGACTATCTTTTTTACGCTTTTTTAGAGCCAGTCTTCATCTTTTCCTTGCTGCTTAGGTGCGGGCTCACCTGCCACCTGCCAGGTGGATGCGCCACTGTATTCCGCTATCGACTTTCCTCTGGTAGTTCTGCCGGTTTGCACCTCCCTCACCCCTCCGCCTACTGTTCATCAAGTCCAGAGTAACAAGTCATTTTGTATTGATCCCCATATGCATCAATTAAGGCAGCAGGACATTTTTTGCTGGCAGTAGCCACCGCCGCCGAATCTGCAGAGCGACTGGAGGGTAAGCGCCGTTGCTACTCCGTGTATACAGCCGACACGTCTCCGAGATGTACTAGCACTCTTCCCCCGCGACAGAAGACCCTGTTCCCCCCGGCCCTGTGACTGCAGAGGCAGCCTAAACGGAAGACGATGAATGGATTGAAGGCGCTGAGCAGGGACCTCCCGGAGAGGACGGATGGCGATTCGTTCCTTCTTCACATCCGTCCACCTATCAGAACACTTCGTGAATCTGTGCTGCCGTTGCCCAGAGGGTGCAAAAGCCCACAGAGAGCCAAGGAACCTAACCACTTGCTTATATGACAGCACAAATGCATAACGGTGCAGAAGGGGGGTTTGGGGGAGGACGGATGATGAACTGAAGTCAGAGTGAATACAGCGAAAGCCAAAAAGCCTGGAAATAACATGAAATAGATTGACCATGTCCCCACGGACGGTGCTGGTATCGATGCAGCGCTGAAATTAGTAAAGAGAGGAACCTCCTCGCCACGACAATTCATGCATAACAATGTAATACAGTTCCAGTATTCCCCCTGCAGGTTCTATAATTGATCTTACCAACTAACTACAGTCAATCATAAGCGCTATTTGACGCATTAACCATGTACGCAATGTGACCTCACACAGGAGCACTGTCCTTGCCTATCATTGATTTTAGAACAGAACTTCTTCCTGCAGTCATTATTAATAAAGCACGTTCTTTGATGGCATTGGCTAACTGGAAGTATGTTCGAGCTGTAAAACGGAGGGAACGCTTGATCTGCCTGCCTCCTGCCGCCAGCCCGCCTTTTGCGCAGGTTAACTCGCAAGATGGCAGATGCCCTCAACGGCTGTCCGATATGCACGGGAACCCCACACAAACTCCCACCACAGCATATTTTTTCCTATTCGTGTTCCATATTGCCCGCTTGGAGGAAATTAACGAGTGGAGGTATTTCATATTAGCTGGCATCGAGCCGGTCTCTGGCCCATCCTGCCGAAAGATATGTAGTATTCCAGCTGCTGAGACAAGAAATGCTGTAGTGAACAGCGGGTGCTTCTGTTACTACCCATTTACCAATGTCGAACCTACTGCGTTCAAACTCTACAACTATACTCTATACAAGTGCCTATCTAAACTATTAGGACCTTAATATTCAAATATTTGTCCGAAAATCATGTTCGGGTCCTACTGGAGGAGATCCGAGTATGATATATCTGGCATTGGCTCTGGAGTGAATGATGTCTCGATCGCAGTAGCAGTATCCCAGACAGCCTTACTTGGTGTGGCTGCCGAACATTCTTGACTTGGTTATCTTAAATTTCTACCTAAAGTATTGCCACTTATCTGGATTAGTCTTGTATTTGTTGTCTTTTATCTAACGAGGTCTCTAAAGGTTCCGGTTGAACTCCCTTGAACTCCATTGTATGGCCTGTGCACTACAAATGCTGATTTCAATATCCAGCGGGCTTTAACGAAGCTAGCCTACTTCATTAAGTCTGTTAGTGTGGACCTTCACAGTTGGAATATCTGCGTTTCTGTCTGCGATCTGTTCGAGTCTGCCGTCTGATGCCCGTGGCATCCGAACCACCGGTCTTGCTTTCTCGATCTTGCTCGAGTCCACACTGGG